CATGGAAGAGCTTCCCTGTGAGGAGGAGAGGACTGGGGGTGGGCTAGAGGGGATGTGAGGGGGTGAGGGAGGATGGTGGGAGGGAGAACTGTGTTTGGAATGTAAAATGAAATAAAAAAACTAAAAACAGAAATGAACAAACAAAAAGAAATTACCTAAGCAAAAATCCACATTGCTACAATTAGTTCTACAAATACTAATATCCTAAGAGTAAATATTAAGGAGTAAGTATATTTATGCAGTATATATGTGAGAAGTATATGTATAAATGTACGTATCTTCTTATTTTTTCTGAGTATTTATATACAGAATTCATGCTGAGGACTGAAGTGTGGGTCTTGAACAAGCTAAGCACAAGTTCTATCACAAATTCTGCAGCCTCACCCAAGCACTCACATTTAAAGAACACAACAAGGCCACTATCAGCTTTCACATTCAAAGCTAGCTAGTATGTTTCCAAACACTGGCTTCTTGTACAGGTAGACTATTATCAAAATGATTAAATCATCAATTCCTTTCACAGCTTTGCTCCAAGAAGCAGTAAGCATTCAAGGAATCATCAGATAGCATAAAAAGCAAGCCTTATGAGGGTAAAGTCTATTCACTTGTCATTGCTTTGCTTTTGTTGGTAATGAAAAACACTGTGGCTCAGCATCCCCAGGCCAGAGAACTCACAGCTATTACAAATGTTTACCCATTTCCTTCTTAGAATGTGTATTTGCAATTCATAGCTCTTATACATAACTTCCATAATACCCAGGTTCTATATCTTCTGTACTAGAGAAGCCATTGTTGGAGATTAGTCGAGTCTCTGAATTGGCTAACAATAACGCTTCCTTAGACTTGGAGTGTGAAGCACTGCTAAGCCCTTCATACTCCATCTTCCTTGCTATACCTGTCCAAGGGTTGCATGGCATGAAAAAAACAGACAGAATCTAGGGCCTGAAATTAGTATACTGAAACTTGTTGACCCTGACTCTCTATCCAAATTGGGGTGGCAGAACTACCTTTCCGTATATCAGACTCTATTATTGTGGTGTGTCTTGAAAGGAGACAGGGGACAATCTGATATATTCAGGCATGCCAGTGCCAAACCCATTGTCCTAGATAGGGTTTTATTGCTGGGAAAAGACTCCATGACCACAGCAACTCTTTATAAAGAAAAAAATTTAATTGGGGCTACCTTACAATTCAGAGGTTTCATGGCAGGAAACATGGCAGCATGCAGGCAAATATTTGCTGGAGGGTTAGCTGAAAGTTCCACTTTTGAATTCTCAGGCAGCAGGAAGAAGCAGTGAGATACTGCCCTGACTTGAGCACCTGAAACCCCAAAGCCCACCTCTAGTGAGATACTTCCTCCAACAAGACCACACGTACTCCAACAAGGCCACACCTCCTAATAGTGTCACTTCCTATAGGCCTATGTGGTCCATTTTTTTAATTCTCTCACATATTACATCCCAACCACAGTTTCCCCTCTCTCTTCGTGTCCCAGCCCTCTATGGCCATATCCCTTCTCTCTCAGATCCCCTCTTCCTCCTTTTTCTTCAGAAAAGAGCAGTCCTCCCAGGGATATCAACTAAACATGGCATATCAAGTCATAATGAAACTATGCACATCCCCTCATATTAAGGCTGAATGAGGAAATCCAGTAGGAGGAAAAGGGTCCCAAATACAGGCAAAAGAATCAGAGATAGCTCCCACTGCCACTGTTAGAAGTGCAAAAAGAACTTCAAGCTACATGTAACATAAACACAGAGGACACAGGTCAGATTCATACAGGCTCTCTGATTGTTGGTTCAACCTCTGTGAGCCCCTATGGACGCTGATTAGTTGATTCAATGGGCCATTTTATTGTGGAGTCTTGACCCCTCTGACTCCTACAATCCTTCCTCACTCTCTTCCACAGGATTCCACAAGCACCACCTAATGGCCTCTGCATCTGCTGCCATCCGTTGTTGGATGAAGCCTCTCTGATGAGGAGTATGTTAGACACTGGTCTAGTTACCTAGGAAGGCTGATTCAGGTTCCACATCTTCAATTACTAAGAGTCTTCCCTAGGATCACCCTTGTGGATCCCTGGGAGTGTCCATCGCATTAGGTTTCTACCTCTCCCCTGAAATGTTCCTCCCAATTCTGGTTATCTCTTCCAGTACTCTTTTCTGCCCTTCAATCCCTTCTGTTCCCATACCCACCTGCTGTATGGGGTCCATCTTTATGCAAACTACCACACCCACCTCTTGTGACTCAGGATCATAATCCCCTGAGGCAGGAAATCTCAAATTCAAATCCTGTTTAAATTGCAGAAGGAACATAAGCCAACCTATGCTAACTTTGTGAAACCCTATCTCAAAATAGTTTGGAAAAACACTAAAAGATGGGGATGAGATTATAGCTTTGTGGTAGGACATATTCCCAGCATGCCAAAGAGTGAGGCTGGAAGGAAAGTAAAGGGAGATGGGTGCTTCAAGGATGCAATAGGAGATTGGGCTCTTTGACAGAAAATCATAAGAATATCTCAGCGTTGGTTTTCTTTTGTGGGGAAAAAGGAAGGCAGAGATAGCAAGTGAACCCAGGTCATTATGCATGCATGCTTGCTAGATTTCCATTTTTAAAATCCCAATGAATTGAGTATTCTACTGAAGTTGCTTATAAGTTGACTTCAAGTCTATCAGATATTCTATTTTCCAATTTTGATAGTGTGACTACGGATAAGAACTTTGGGTTTCAGTAACTCTTACTTGACCGTCAACTGGAATGACTCTGAGTTTCTCATGACTGATGGGGCTGGGGGCTGAGTCATTAATAAAAGCAAATATTTTCACAAAGGGAGCCCTTTCCATGCATCATGCAATGCATTGAGGCCATCGTGTGGGTTACCTCATTTATTCTCCTCTGTGACTCTGCAATCCCTTTCTTAGTTTCAAAGAAGATACCGAAATTAAGAGAGGCTCCTTAACAGGATAAGAATTAGGCTTAGGACCCCAATCAAATTGTGGTTTATTATAATGGAGAGCTGTGTTTGTTCTCAGACATGCTAGTAAACTGTTTGGTTGTGATTTCCTTCTATGATGAGTGAGAGTTCCTACATTATGGAAAGAAGCCACGGAAGGGCTCCACATTCCCTTATTAGCTAAAGTTGTAAATGACCTTTACCATTATGAAATACTGCAAGTATACAAAATTGATGTAAAAATTTTTTAAATTATTAGTTACTATCGTTGCAAAAGTGATACTATTATAAGTAGTTTATTTGTATACCTGTAAATTAAATATATTTTCCATCCTGAGAAACAAAAACATAGAGTAATGTATTACTTCAACCACTGTCCACCCATGGATCCCTCCATCCATTGATCCATGCATGCATCCATCCATCCATCTGTCCATCCATCCATCCATTGATCCATGCATGCATGCATCCATCCATGTAATCAATACATATTTGGTGATTTTTACATTAAAATGTAAAAATAGTTTCTTCTATCAGGACATTTTTCACTAAAAATTATAAGGGAATGGGGCTTGGAGAGGTAGGTAGTGGTCAACGCTCTTGTAGTGCATGTCTGAGGACCAGAGTTTGGAACTCTATTGTAATCCCAGTGCCTGGGCAGACAAACAGAGATCCTAGGAGCAAGCTGGCTACCCAAAATAGCCAAAGAGATCCTGTCTCATGCTTTGTTGACTCCCATGGGAGGCCTTCTCCTTTCTGAATGGAGAAGGTGTGGATGTGGGGATTGAGAGGAAGTGGGGGAGAGAACAGGAAGAGAGGAGGGAAGGGAACTGTCGTTGGTATGTGAAGTAAATGAGAAAATTTAAAAAAAGAGATTCTGTCTTATGACATGAAAAATAAAAGACCCAGAGACAGATATTGGGGTTCAGTCTTCAAGCTGAAGATCAGAAAAGCAAAGCAGCCAGCTCTTGCCTCTACTGCAGGCTGAAAGGGATGATCCTGTCTCCATGAGCTCTTCACCAAGCCTCAGACTGCTGCCTCTCCTCAACATGGCTAGAGAATCAACCTACACATGAGATCCTTTGCTTTTTAAACCTCCCTAGTGCTGGGATTAAAGGCATGTGACCCTAAGTGCTGAGACCATCTTTGTGTGAGTTGCTTTCTTTAGGACTGAATCAATTTCATGTAGCTTAGTGTGGCCTTGAACTAACAAGAGATTGATCTACCTTGCCTCCCAGGTGTTGGGATTAAAGTTATGTACCATCAGTGCTTGGCTTCTATAGCTAACTAGTGTGGCTGACTTTGCTTTCTGTGAACATGCTGTAAGTGAACGAATGAATGTTTCTGGAGGACTGAACTCCATAGTAGGTATTTTAGGCTGAATTTGGAGTGCAGAGGGTACCAGCTCCTTTTTCCAAAAGGAAATTCCAAACATGGGTCTAGTGTTAAAGGGATGCTACTTGGAGTCAGATAGATTGTGGTTAGAATTCTGGCTCCATTTGTTTCATAGCTGCTTGCTTTTGGTCAGCTGTTTTCTGATCCTATCTTCTACCCTGGTCACTTGAGGGAAATGGTGTCTGACTTGCAGTTCTTTTAAACAATCCAATTCAATCACACGCACAGAGCCCAACCACCGGGCCGATCCTTATAATGGTTCTTTCCAAGTACCTGGGGTTGAACCGGGGGATGATGACAGGAGAGGCACAACACGTGAGAGGCGCAGATCTGAGAGACAAGAAAGAGCGGACAGAAGCCAAAGTTCCACAAGAAGCGAGCCTGTAGAGTCAGGGGGCTGACGAGTGAGACGCAAACAGGAGGAATTCTGGCATTGCCTATGCGCCAACAGCGAGTCACGAGGCACAGGTTCTGTGAGCATCTGAGCCTGGGACAGGCCTTCCGTGGAGCCAGACCTTTCTTTTCAAGCCAGTTCAGTGCGTTCAGTAAATGTAAACAGTTGGTGACAACCAGAGGTGTGCATGATTTTTTCATGGGGGGGAGGGCAGAGGTGGCGCTCCAACTACACAGCACTGTATAGGCAAGATGGCTGTAGAAACCACCCATTTATTTGTCATTTGAATGTAAGCTCCGTCCACTAGTGGCCCTTCACATTTGCCTTTGCGGGGGTGTCAAGTCTCATCTCTCACCCCAGTGGCAGGGTGTGGAAGGAAGGCAGGACCTCAGCAGTCTTCATGTTCTCCTTGTGTTCGGTCAGCAGTCCTCAGGCTCCGTTTCAAATGTTTTCTTTCATGTTGCCTGGTTTTTGTTTTTTTGCAACAATACAAGAAAAAAGAAACAGAATTTCAGAACAAAATGTACTCAGGATTGCCTAACTGTGAAAAGACTGACATCTTAAGCGCACCCCCACTCCCCAAGGAAACGGAATGGGAATCTAGCGAGAGAAAAATGTACCTAAGGGAGGAGAGACAATTCAAAATTAGACTGGACATTAATGAATCTCACAAATTAAGAACTTTTTTATTTTTAATAGTCCATACTTTAACTTTTGTTTTATGTAAGTGTGTCTGTGTGGGGGTATGCACACATGAACACCCATGCCTTCAAGGCCGGAGACACTGGATCCCTTGGAGCTGGATTGAGCTGGCCAGTGTGGGTGCTACTAACCAATCTGTGTGTTTTTTTTTTTGAGAGAACAGTATGAAGCTTTAACAGCTAAGCATCTCTCCAGTCCCTAATTTATTACCTTAATCAAATATATGATTTCCAAGAATAGTATGCCCATAGTCAGTATCTTAATTTATTTTTTCTTGCTGTGACAGAGACTCATGACAACAGGAACTCTTGAGGACAAGAGTTTATTTTAGCTTCCAGACCCTAATGAGATGAGTCAAGGCAGGAACTCAAGCAGGGCAGGAATCTGAAGAAAGGAACTGAAGCTCACATCATGGAGGAGCGCTGCTTACTGACTTGCTCCTTCTGGTTTGTTCAGTTTTCTTTCCTATATCCTCCAGAATCTCTTGCCCAAGGGTGGCATCACACACAATGACTTGCAACTTCCCTATTCAGGAAAACGTTCCACAGGTTTACCTACCAGCAAATGATCAAGACACTTTCTCAGTTGAGGTTCCCTCTCCTCAGGTTACTCCAGTGTGTGTGAAGTCGACCAAACGCCAACCAAAAAAACCAGCGCCAAAACAGACACAACAAATGCGAGCCTTTGTGTCATTTAGTGCCTTTGGAGTGCTTTCCAGTGTCTCTGTGAGGGATGCCTCTGTGTAATCTAAGCTCCGAACCCTGAATCTTATTGACAGGCCCTGTAATGGCTCTCTATTGTCACCAGCAGATGTCACTGTTTACATGTAAAACTCCAGCAGCCCCTCAAAGCATTTACATTATTTTAATTTGCATTTTCTTATTCTAAAACAAGACAAGCTCACTTGCAGTTTCTTGTAAGGCCGTATCATGTCACAATTTTTCTTCCAGAAAAGAACTGTGTGTCCTCTAGAGACATATGAAGGGAGACACACTTTCCCTCTATTTAACTACACTGTGAAGGTCTATCTGAAAAATGGTATTTACTGGGTATGGTGGCACAAGTCACCAATACCAGGAGGATCAAGAGTTTGATGTCAGTCCAGGCTACACAACAAGAATCTTTCTCAGTGATAAGGATAATAATAACCACAGAACACCTACAGCTTGCCTCAGACTAATTACTCTGATTCGGGGCATCCCGAATGAGATGAAAACCTCTCCTCCAGGGTTTCAAAGTCTCTTCTGAAGAGATAAGACTAAAACAATGTAGCACCTTAAAATGTTGGCAATCTAGTAGTGAAGTCAAAAATGATCTTTTGGCTTAGGTAGATTGAAAGACAGCAGGAGCGAGAACAGGCAGAGGGATTTAAGAGATGTTATAAGATAGAAAGAGTGCATCATCTGGTTCAGATCGGAAAGGTACTGGATTTTTTTTTCTTTGCTGAGAGATGCAAAAATATATTTAGAAGATCTACCTAAAGGAGCTGTGAAAAATGAAGTGGATTGGGAGTATCGTTTTTGGGTTCTAGGAGTTGGAACAGAAATATCAGTGGTGATGAACCAGGTGTGGTAACTCATGCCTGTAATCCCTCTGTTTGGGGGAGTTGAATCATGGTTAATCCCAAATTCAACCAAGAAAAGAGTGAGTTCAAGACAGGCTGGACTACAGTGTAAGAACCTATCTCTAGGGCACACTGAACACAACCAAGACGGAACCACCCAACAAGTACCCTCCCAGAGCAACAACAAAAACAAATGCGTGAAAACAAGACAAGGGGACACGAGGAAAGGACCAGCTATGTAGCTTCCTTTCAGGCACAGTCTTTTTGTCTTCTTGTCTATTCAATCCAACATCAGGTCACATGGTCAGATAACAACACAAAAACGTTAAATTCAGGGCCACACCTAGAAACTCTAGGGTATGTGAATGCCATAGGTCTACAAAGAAGACAGTGACTTGAAGTTCATGAGGTAAGGTGACCATGACAGGGAATGACTTGGATGGTCACATGCTTAGTCAGTGTGACCAGTCATACTGTAACTGGCCTGTGCTGGTCTGACAGAGATCTGGGGACCTCAAGGGCTTAAAGGTGAAATCTTGACCCAGAACTATATTCAGGAGTCGCAGACTCAGAAGCAGAAGCAGCATCCAGGAAGACAGAAAAAAAAAAGACAACAACCCTGAATGTGGGTGTCAGTGAGGAGGCCTAGGTAATCTATTGAGCCTTGGGCAGCAGATCAGTACTCATCCCGAGTATACACACGGACTTTGGACTCCCATCCAACAATGTGAGATGCATTCTCACCCTGGATTCTTGGGAGAGGGTCTAGAACTGCCCTGGATGAAATGACAGACTATGGACACCCCCATGGAGGGCCTCACCCTCCCTGGGGAAATGAGGGGATAATGGGGGGGTTTGGGGGGAGGGCACGGGAGGAGGGGAGGGAAAGGGAGAGGGACCTGGAACTGACTTGTGAAGCAACCTTGTTTCTAATCTAAATTTAAACTGAAAAATAAATAAATTAGAAAAAAAAAGACAACAAGTTGTAGTGCTGAAGTTCATCTTTAGGGATGGGTTCATCCTGTTAAACTATACACATACCGTGTCTTGAATAAGGCTTATCCCAAACTCCCATTGAAATTTTACAGAGGTAGGGCCTGTGAAAATGACTGAGTTGTTAAAAGGAGAATGAATATAGTTGCAAGAGGGGGCTGGCAAAATGGAGCCGCAGCCCTCTTCTCCCATGCCCAGTTATTCTGCAATGTTAAAACACTCCATCTTGGTTTTCCAACTTCTAGAATCGAGGGCTAAATAATCTTTCTTTCCTTGTAAGTTACCCAGGAAATCTTTTATAGCAACAGAAAATTAAGGAAGACAATACAATAGTAACAACCTTCAAGAAGGATATACTGGTGTGATATACTGTTAAGTTCTTAAATTCCTGATGATTCCCAAATCTTGTTGCATTCACAGAATGGGAACTCATGGCCAGAGCTTTGAATCTGTACTCCTCCACCCATCTCGTGGTGCTATAGTTTCGGTGTAAAATAACCCTGGAAGGCCCATGGGTTAAAGGCTTTGTACACAGAAGCCGTTGGTCCTACTGGAAGGTAGAGGTACTTTTAGAAAGTGGAGCCCAGTGGGAGGAAATTGAATCACTGGAAGGGTGTTCTTGAAGGAGATATCAGAATGTTAGCTTTTCTATATCTCTTTGCTTTCTGACCTCCTCAAAGGGAGCAGCTTTTACAAATCCTCCTCCCATGATGTGGTCCTTCTCCACAACCACAAAAGCAACAGGACCATAGATTGAAATCTCTGTCCCTGAGATGTTGAGTCAAAGCAAACCTTTCTTCCTTATAAACTTATCACCTCAGAGATTTTATCACAGTGACAGAAATCTGACCAACATAGAGTTTCACCAAAATTACCTCCAAATATCCCTCTACTAATCAGTGACCACTTTATACTCACTCACTCCTTTAGATCTTTGTAAAGTTAACATTTCAACATGGAAGGTCACGTCCTTCAAACGAGTAACTTTCTGAACCCTTTAATGTAGACAAGGGAATGAACTTGACAAGTTCTTGAGTGTGTGTGTGTGTGTGTGTGTGTGTGTGTGTGTGTGTGTGTGTGTACATCGGGGATGATTTCTGCTTCTCAAGGTGGAATAAGAGGTTAGAAGTGATCCAGGTCAAGCCTGTGAGACTGCATAGTTCATAAACATGCTGGCACCAGGTTGGTGTTTTCCTTTTACCTCCTGCTTGGATGGGTTTGAGAAGAGATATAGTGTTTGAGGGAACAGAGTGAATGATGATGAATATGAAGATTTTGTGTTCCACCTTGGCTGGAGTGATGGATCATCAGCTAAGAATACTGGTTGTTCTCCTGGAGGACCCAAATTGTACTCCTAACTGATCTGACAGCCTCTTCTGACTTCTCCAGGCACCAATCATGTATGTGATGCACATACATACATACATACATACATACATACATACAGGCAGAACACATACTATACATAAAATAGAAAAGAAAAGTAAAACTACATTATTTGTTTGACTATGATAAGAACTTTATGGGCATGAAAGCTGCATCTCAGATTTGTTGTGTGAGCATTCAGTAAAAGTCATTATTTCTTCTGCTTAAACCCCAGGTACTTAATTTGCATTCACAGAAAGAAAGTTGGTAGAAGTATCCATACCCACTGAAAACACAAAATTAGGATGCTAGCAAGGCCGATGTAGTGAGAATACTGAGTTATTAATCATAAAGTAGCAAAAAAAGGATGCTTTCATTTAGAGCAAACTATTGCTATGCAGAATTTTTTAAAAGTCCTTTTCAGAGCTTGCATTTTTCTTTTCCTTGAAAAGCCTTTAGCTTTTGAAGATCTCACTGCCTAATATGAAACAAAAATAAATATCATGTCATGTAATCCTGAATGCCTGTGGATTTTAAACTAACATCCTTGGAATCAACCTGTCCCTGTGATGCTGGAGTCACCATGATAGGTTGAAAGGGTCTTATTTCCTTACTTGAATAGATCCTGGACAGAAAGTTCCTTTAGACTTAAAGTAAGTTCATATCTCAAAGATGTTTCTAGAGCTCCAATGTCTTGTTAGATGTGTTGCTTACCTCCTTCTGGACTGGCAGAATCCAGGAGTCTGTCTATGGCCATTACTCCACCACACATCTTTTCTCTGGTCCTTCTAGGACAGAGGCTGTATCTTTTTAGGACGGATGTTGTGGATGTAACCAGCTCACTCACGAGGTTGACTTGTGTTCTCCAAACTCTTTTGAAACTTGAGGCCTGAGTTTATAGAGCTTCTGAAGAGGTACTTAAACACTCCTGGAATTCACGAGTGGCTTTCTGCATTAACTTAGATCTTTACTTTAGCAAGTAGACATGTTGGTGTTAGGTTACATAAATAAGGGGCCAAAAAGATAGTGCACAGTGATTCTTAGGACTGTACACATTACTTATATTTGGAAAAAAAGGCTTTTTGCACATGTGACTATGGATCTTGCTGTGGGAAATGTTCCCTAAATGTGTACCCTTATAAGAAGAATACAAGGAAATGAACATAGACTGAAGAATAGAAGACAGAGGCCGAGTGCTCATATGCCTTCAGAATTCATGCGTGGAAACCTGATCCTTGGTGAGACAGAGCTGGAGGTGAGGCCTTAGCTGGAGGTTGTGATTAGGTCATGAGGGTGGTGTCCTCATGAAGGAGACCCATGACCTATAAAGAGATTCAGAGAGATCTCTTGCCTATTATACCGTGTGAGAACATAAGAGATAAACAATCAGAAGCCAACTGTGAATCAGGAAGCACGTCTTCTTACCAACTATTCTGCTGGCACAATTGGTCTCGAATCTCCTAGCCCCCAAACCTGTAAGGAATGGATTTCTGTGGCCGATAAGACAGCCAAGTTATGATATCACATTACAAAAGTCTGAATGGTCTAAGGCAGATATTGCAATTATATACAGTTATAAGGTAAAGATTCTCAAAGCCACCAGCAATGGGAAGAGATGGTTGTAAGGCCTCCCTGGAGTCTCCCAGCGGAGTGCAGACAGGGGAAGTGGATTACATACTTCTAGAATTCAGAACTGTGTGGAATAAACATTCTGTTTTAACTGGTTACACGTACTGCCTGATAATGTCATCGTCTTCACATCAAGTCGGTAAAGAAGTATATTTAAAACTAGCATTAGAAATTAGTGTTGTACTGTGGACCGAGGCATTGATAAGCCAGTCCCGAAGTTGTGAGCATGGGAGAGCTGTCCCTGTTTCTTATCTTTCTCATGACGGCATGGGCAGGAAAGAAATGCATCCCTGTCACCCTGTCCATCAACATTTAGATGTGTGCCTGAGGTCATAAGAACAGGAGAACTGTTCCTGTCTTCAGCTACAGCACTTAGGAGAGTGGCCCATATATGTCACCTGGGCAACACAGGTGAAGGTGTAGGTATGGGAGAAGCTATCCCAAGGATATGAAATGACCTCATCCCTTGCTTATTGCTGCCAGGGGTGAACTAGATAGCTCACTCTTATGGCAAAGACAGGAGAGAGCTGGCAGGCTGACGAACCCAAGGCCAGAACCAGGGTTATGTGTTGATCCACCCCAACATCCACCCTGATTGTAATCTTCTGGGACATTAGTGGGGAGAATTGGTCCCAAAGACCCAGGGCTACAGGATCTCCAGTGACAAAGGCCAGCAACAGGACGTTCAGAAAGAGCCCTAATGATGATGCAGTGTTGATAGTGTAGCAGAGACCAGGGGCTTTGAGCCAGACCTACGACTCTTTGTGGTGAACGCTTGCATGCAGAGACGTGTGGATAAAGGTTTACTGAGTGTCTCACTGTGTCGCACTGCAGCTTCCATTCAAGAATTTCCCTTTCTTCCTTTTTTTTCTTTCTTTTCCTTTTTTATCTTAAACTTTATTTTGCGTTATGGGCAGGGGTTGCAGGGGCAGAGGGTAGACGTGAGGGGCAGGAAATGAGTGGGATCCAGATGCTTGATGTGAAAGACAGAAGGAATAAGTACAAAAAGAGAGTTAAAAACATGGCAATTTCTGCTTGGTAGACTGTGGTCATATATTATTTATGACCTAATAAAGCTTACCTGAGGGTTCAGAATGCAAAGCTAACCATACACCTTAGCGACCAGGTAGTGGTTGTAGACACCTTTAATCCAGAGACTCAGGAGACAGAGGCAGATGGATCTCTGTGAGTTCAAGGCCACTCAGGGCTATACAAGAGGGAATCATTCTAAAAGAGTAGCAGAGCTCATGCCTTTAATGCCAGAACTAGAGACCTATATAAGGAAGAATCAAAGTCAGTCTTAGGCAATTAATCTCCAGCTATGTTGAAGAGAGCATTACAGTGTAAGATTCTGAGGCTTGCTGGAGAGAAGTTTAGTCTGGAGATGCAATCTGAGGTTCAGTGGATCACCCCTTCAGTTTGAGAATTTGTAGAGGTGAGAACTCTCTAGTGGATAGCTGCTTTGCTTTTCTGGTCTTCAGCTTGAACCCCAATATCTGGCTATGGGTTTTATTATTTATATTACAGTGGACTTTTGTTTTGATGAATATTCAAATCTCTTCTGATTAGTTTTGGTTGGAAGTCTATTTTGTCAGATCGAATCGCTATACTAGCTTTCTTCTTAAGTCCATTTGCTTGGAATATCCTTCTCCAACCTTTTACTGTGAGGTGAAGTCTACCCTTGATGTTAAGACGCATTTATTGAATTAAGTAGAAGGGTGGATTTTGTTTTCCATTCTGTTAATCTGTGCCTTTTTTTATTGGGGAATTGAGACTATTGATATTGAGTGACAACACTGAGCAGCATTTTTTGAGCAGCTATTATTTTGTTGTTGTTGTGTATGTGTGTGTGTGTGTGTGTGTGTGTGTTTATGTGTATGTGTCTGTGCACCATGCTATTTAGACTTTTTCCTGTTGTTTGGGGCATAGACATCTCTGGTGACCTCCCAAAAGCTAGAATTCTGGCTAAGTCCTGGAATGGCAGACTGTTTCATTCGTCCAGGCTATGTGGAACCATCTCGGGCTAGCAAAATACAGGTCTAGTTGAAGCAGTCTGTGATGCTGGACCGTCTGAGGCAGATCAGATCAGAAGGGCAGAGAGAGGCTATGGCAGTACTTTATATTTATCTGTGTAAATTGTTCCCCAATAAAACATCCACTTATCATTTATCTTGGGTCTAGTGAATTCATTATTTCCCCACCTTCAACCCCCCCACTCCCTCTCCATTTCTACTCATGAAAGGGTAGGCCTTCCATGGATATCAACAAAACATGGCACAACAAGTTGCAGGAAGACTAAGTAGCTTCACTTGTGTTAAGGCTGAACAAGGCAACCCAGTATGATGAATAGGGTCCCGAAGCCATCAAAAGATTCAGACAGCTCATGATCCCATTATTAGGAGTCCACTAAGAAGACCAAGCTACACAACTGCAGCAAATAAGCAGAGGGCCTAGGTCAGTGCCATGCAGGCTCCTTGGTTGTTGATTCAGTCTCTGTGAGCCTCTATGAGCCCAGGTTAGTTGATTCTGTGAGTTTTCTTGTGATGTCCTTCATCCCTCTGGCTCCTTCAATCCTTCCTCCTCCTCTTCTCTAGGACTTCCTGAGCTCTGTCTAATGTTTGGCTGTGGGTCTTTGCATCTCTTTCCACTAGTTGCTACATGAAGCCTTTCTGATGACAATTGTGCTAGGCACCAATCTACCATTGGTAGATTGGCAGAATACCATTAGGCATCATTACCCTGACATTTTCCCTCCAGTTGTGCTTGGTTTCATGCTAGGTCTCTAGGTCATCCAGCCTGTGGGCCCTGGTACTCCAGGCAGTGTCAGGAGTAGGCTCACTCTCATGGCAAAGGTCTCAGACTGGACCAACCTTGCTTGGCGACTCCCTCAATCTCTGTGCCACACTTACCCCCAGCTCATCCATAGGCAAGGCAGACTGTAAGTCAAAGGTTATGTGACTGGGTTGGTGTGCAAATCCCTTGACTGGAAGTCTTGCCTGGTCAGGGGAAATGACCAGTTCAGGTTACCTTTCCACTGTTGCTAGGACTCTTAGATTCAAGGGAGTTGCTCTTGCAATAGGTTTCTACCTCACCCTAAAATGCCCCCCTTTTCAGTTGTTTATTTCAGTAATCTTCCCCTCTATCCCATGTACCTGATCACTCATGTTCCAATCCCTACCTGGCCCCAGTGTGCCCACAAAAGCTATTCTACTTTCCATTATGAGGGAGAACCCTGTGCTACCTCCTTGCGCCCTCCTTGTTACCCAGCCTCTCTGGATCTGTGAATTGTAGCATGGTTATCCTGTAGTTTAGAGCTAACGTCAATTTATAAATGAGTACACACCATGTTTGTCTTTCTTGGTCTGGGTTACCTCACTCTGGATAATTTTTTCTAGTTCCATCCATTTGCCTACAAATTTAATGAGGTCATTGTTCTTTAACAGCCAAGTAATACAACATTGTGTAAATCTACCACATTTTTTTAAATCTATGCTACAGTTAAGGGACATCTAGGTTGTTTCCAGGTTCAGGCTATTACCAATAAACTGCTATGAACACAGCTGAGCAAGGTCCTTGAGGTATGAATTACCATCCTTTCGATATATGTCCAAGAGTGGTATCAATGGGTCTTGAGGTAGATTGATTTTTAGTTTTTCTGAGAAACTGCCATATTGATTTCTAAAATGGACATACAAGTTTGTACTCTCATCAGCAATGGAAGTGTTTTACCCTTGATCCACATCCTCTCCAGCATGCGCTTTCATTTGTGTTTTAGGTCTTAGCCATTTTACAAGTATAAGATAGAATCTCAGAATCATTTGCATTTGCATTTCCCTGATGGCTAAGGATGTTGAACATTTCTATCAGTGTTTCTTGGTTATTTGAGAGTCTTTTGTGGAGAATTCTGTTTAGATCTGTACACCATTTTTAATTGGATTATTTTTTTGTCTAGTTTATTGAGCTCTTTATATGTTTTGGAAGTTTTCCTTGTTAGATATGGGGTTGGTGAAGATCTTCTCCAGTCTGTAACCTGCCATTTTGTGCTATTGATGGTGTACTTTGCCTTACAGAAATTTCTCAGTTTCATGAGGTCCCATTTATCAAGTGTCAATCTTAGTGTCTATGCTACTGGTGTTATGTTAAGGAAGTTGTCTCCTGTGTCAATGTTTCCAAGGCTGCTTCCCACTTTCTTGTCTATCAAGGTCATTGTATCTGGCCTTATGTTGAGGTCTTTGATCTACTTGAACTTGAGTTTTATTAATAGTGGAAGATATGAATCTATTTGCATTCTTCTACATGGTAACATCAAGTTAAGCCAACACCATTTGTTGAAGATGATTTCTTTTTTCCATTGTATAATTTTGGCTTCTTTGTTGAAAATCAGGAGTAAATAGGAGTGTGGATTTACATCTGGATCTTTGATTCCATTCCATTAATCCACCTGTTTTTTATGCAAATACTATGTGATTTTTATGACTCTCGCTGTATAGTAGAGCTTGAAATCCAGGATGGTGATACCCCCAAAATTCTTTTATTATACATGACTGTTTTAGCTATCATAAGGCTTTTGTTTCTCCATATGAAGTTGAGTATTGTTCTTTCAAGTTCTATAAAGAATTGTGTTGGAATTTTGATGAAGATTGGGTTGAATCTGTAGATTGCGTTTGGTAGGATGACCATTTTTATTAGGCTAATCTGACCAATCCTTGATACATCTTTTGATAACTTCTCCATCTTCTTTATTCAAGTACTTGAAGTTCTTGTCATACAAGTCTTCCACTTGCTTTGTTAGAGTTACCCCCAAGATATTTTATATTATTTGTGGTTTTTGTGAAGTGTGCCGTTTCCCTGATTTCTCTGCCAACCAGTTTTCATGTGTATATAGAAGGCTGAGTTTTTTAGCTAATCTTATAGCCAGTCATTTTGCTGAAGGTGTTTTTCAGCTGTAGGAGTTCACTGGTAGAATACTATCACACTGTCATATCATCTGCAGATAGTGATACTTAAACTTATTTCTTTCCAATTTGTATCTCCT